TTTGCACTAGCAAAATAAAAAATTTATTATCTAGGTATTTTAACAAGAAAATTGATTCGGAAGAATGACTAGTAGCTAGTAGCTTTAGACGTAACGTGATAAATTAATTAAAACACAATCACAAATTTGAAACAAAAAAAATAAAAATAAAACGTACCCATGCCCCAATCAATGCCTTTTTCTTCTTCCATTTTCAATCTCTCTTCTTCTGCAGCTTCAAGTCTTATTTTTTCTGCCTCTAGGGCTGCCAATCGTTCCTACAACAGAGAAAAGATCTTAAGAACATTTAAGCTACAAAATAGGAATAGTAGTGATCAATGAGGAATAGTGAAACATTCAAATTCATCATTAGGTTTGAATAATAAAACTAGTTGGTAAATAGTTTCTTGTATGAGATACAGCTCTTTTTTGCTTCAAGGTCTTCATCATGAATAATAATAAAAACAGTCGTCATAGTTACAAAAAAATAACGGAGATCGAAAACAACAATTTTAGTACAAAAACAAAACTTGACAGCTCATTAATGTTGTGTTACTGCACATTATGTACCTTACAATGTCGCAGGTTCATTATGGTGTACAGCAGTGTGGTAGTCGTACTGCTAACCCGTTGGCGCTTTTAAGTAGATTGTCGAATCTCACTTTCGAGTGCTAATGACCTTTAACCCAGCTGATAACGGTCACATGGTAACCAAGTTGACTACAGTAACACCTTGCACTGACGAGTCTAGCTCTGAGTCTTTCTACATGTGCGGGTTTGATTTCCGTGCAATCCATATTAAGCTTACTAATGTGTCGCTTAACTGGAGTGAGGGCCCACTTTAAATAAACAGTGTGTGTCTTGAGTGCAAGTTGACAGCGTAAGAAAGTTAATAGGAATTGCTCACAATACTTGTTATGCTTCATTTTACACTAGTAGGCTATCTGGGTGAACCGATGCTTCTAGGTGTTGAGATTGCTTCGGCAGAAAATTCAAACAAACACAGTTTTTTTTTGTTTTTTTTACTATGGTCAAACAAGAATATTTTGTATTGAAATACATTCTATAAAGACACTAAATGAAGTAAACTGAAAATCAAAATTTATTTAAACAATAGAAACATTCAGTTGCCTTGTTACGCTGGGTTGTTCGGCCACGAATGGGTAACAGAGTATTACTATTTGAGAAAACTATTTAGAATTACTAAGGTTGCATTAAATACGGTTAGCTACCTTGTGCTGCTGTCTCAACTCTGTTACACTCAGTTCCGACTCTGGTTCTTCGTCTTCTTCTGGCCCTTGCAGAATGAACATTCGCGTACTGCAGCCTATCTTCACCATGTGGCCCACCTTAAACAAGTCAACAGGTTAATATGCTTAACAGCTGTTAGCTCTTGCTGTACACCAATCTTAAGATAATGGTGATGCAGAAATGTTGTAGGTCTACACAAATGTAAAAAATAGCCTAGCCTAAAAACACACTTACTCAACATGGTACAGAACAAAGAATTTAATAAATGCATCAATAAAACCGTATACGAATAGTTCAATAATAAATAGGGTACCATCATGAAAGACTAAATTACTTATGTAATCCCATCACAGCTCAACAAAATATGTCAATTTAGGACATGTTTCGGTGTTAAAACACCATCGTCAGCTTGTAAGTTATGCCTACTTGTAGAGTTGATCAGTTGCTAACATCGTCAAAAGGTAAACACAGTACGGCACGACAAAATTACAATAAAATAATAATAAAGTTTGAACATTACAAACAGGCCTGTTTTAACAAAAGTTGACCGACTGCACAGGTAGCATGAATTTATGGATAGACAATACTGGTCCAGTTTGTCCCTTGCTTGCATGGTGGTTAACTAGCCAATCCATAGACATACCTTGACACGAACAAAAATCTTCGGCTTAACCTTCTGCTTGTTGTGGAAGGTGCCAAGGGAGCTGCCGAGATCGTAAATGTAGAAGCCGATGTCGTTTTCCTCGTCTGCTACAGCTCGGTATTGCAGCACTGCATGGTACCGAGAAACAGTTGGGTGCAGCATGGGTATATCACAGTTCTCCAGCCTACCGAAAACGTGGAAACTGCGCAGTGTCAGATCTAAGGTCTTGACTATCGTCCCGTTTTTCAATTCCTGAAAAACAATGTTTTAATAACTGTTAAAAAAAGTTTTTGTTTTGTATAAATTGATTTAATTGGATGGCCAAATCCTAAGGAACTGGTGCACAGTAGAGCATTGACTACTACCAACAATTGTGATTTCTTTGAACAAAGAATTTTTTGTCTCATCGTAAGTTTGAAACACAGTAGACTCCCTCTTATCCGGACTCCTCGGGACCGAGACCAGTCCGGATAACGGTTTTTCCGGTTAAACCGTCATCCCTAAATAGTCCTTAAAACGGACAGTTTAAATCTGTACTGTACAACCAATAATGATTATTAGTTATTACGGATTTAGACTTGTGATCACTGGTCTAAAATCTTTTTCACGAGACCAGTCGTTTCAGTACCGCCCACTCCCTGCCGATGTAGTCCGGTTAAACCGATGTGCTGATAAAAATTGTCCGATTAAAGAGATGTCATTTCCGCAGAGTGTAGGTTTCCAGTTAAACCGATGTCCGGTTAAAAGGTGTCCAGATAAGAGGGATGCATTTCCCAGATATACCAATGCATTGGTTTCATAATCTATAGGGTTAACTGACTAGCATTCTATGCACTATAAATTGATGCGAGGGGGGTTGAGCGCAAATTGTGCATATTAACAGCGTTCAAAACTTGTTTTGAAGTCAAAACAGACAAAGCAATAGGCCTACCCTCTTAACTTTCAAAGATTGTTTTTTTTAAGACATAGGAGACACATTAGGTGAATAAAACCACTAAATCACAATAAATTAAACTTGTTGATTTTAAGAGTGATTTACCTAGGCCCCTACTTTAATCAGATTGAAATGTGGAACTTGTTGTAGACTGAAGATAAACTTAGGCTACGGTACAGTTAAGATAATTAAGTTAGGCTACAGTAACTTAGGTTATGTCTTTTTTCAGATTAGTTACAGTATAAGTTAACAATTTGGCTTACCTCAAGTTTATATTCACGAGAAGGAAGTCCTCCCCATTCAGGTTCAATGTAGGGCAAAGGAGGAATTTTAGAAGGAGGTTTCTTTGATGTATGATCTTTATTAGGTTTTAGAGATGAGTTGTCACCAGATTGTATTTCTTTATGGTCATTTTCTTCAATTTCACTTTGCGTTTGTTTAATTGAGTCCGGTTCTTCAATTACTCTACAAATTCTATTTTTTCCTGTGACGTTTTTACCTCTCTGAGGCCCAACTATCAGTTGAGGTTTCTTAAATGGTTCATTTGAGACATTTTCTATACTCTTATCTCCACTGCCTTCAACTGGATCACTTTGAACACTGTCTTCGATGTTTGTATCTTCCATAATTCACAAAATTATGATAGTTTCTTTGGTTTTAAATTGTATCATGGAAGGATACAGGTAATGTACAATCAGTTCTTAGAGGCCTAATACATAACCTAACAACTGGTGGGAAGCTAGGCCCAAGGAGCAAAGAACTAACTATTCAACTTGATTATAACACAGTTAGGTAACTTAAGACTTAAGTGTGAGCATAGACAAAAAGAATTGTGTGAGTGAGTAGTATTCCACAATATATCTGAAGCTATCAATAACCTACAAAAAATAAACCAAACAAAGTGTGACTGACAGGTGCGACTGCGAATACAATACAAAGCAAGCCGAAAACGAGAAGTGGTATGTATGACAGACACGACTGCTTGACTCTTGACTTAACCACAGCCACAGATAGACAGACAGATCCATCGATTCGAGATCGAGATAAATACTAGGGAGAGACCATTGACCATTGATTATAAGTGCTGTATTTAGTGAATGAGAGAATGCGAATGCAAAATTAAAACATGCACCTCATACCTCAGAGTGTGTCACTGCCTCAAATAATTGAATACAATATTAAGTTAAATAAACGTACTTAACATTTGTCTTAGGATGCTAGACACGAACCTGATTTGTTTTTCACATGAATCAGGCTAGACCTAGGGGTTACGGCATTATCACTTGAGATAAAATCCATTGGTGATTAGGCAGGATTTGAACCCGGGTCCCCTGGAACCGGAGTCCCGTGCTCTAACCACTAGACCAGCTCGCTTCCCCGATTACAAACTATAACTCCTACTACAAAAGAGGGCGATGAGAATAATAACATCTTCTGGCTACAAAGCACACTGTCGGCCTATCTTCCTCGAGTTGGGTGTGTTGACTGTCTACAGCCAGTATGTCCTTAACATCTTGACCCTGCTGAAGATAAACATTCATAATTTTGTAGTCAGAGATAATGTACATAGCCACCATACCCGCCAAGCTTGTGACATTGATCTGCCGAGATGCCGCCTAGCCCGCTCTCTGAAGAGTTATCCTCGGTCGGCGATAAGGCTGTTTAATTCCTTGCCGGTTCATGTGCGCAATCTGGACCTTGATGATTATAAGACGGCCCTGCGTGACAGGCTGGTTAATAGGCCTCTTTACAGCCTCGAAGTCGAAGAATTAGGCAACGAGCCACTTTTTAGCCATTGCCACAGTGTAAATAGTATTGTGTAAATAGTATTTTAGTATTTAGTAATCTGACGCAGTCATGCCGATTTCATCGGTCAACGACATAGACTACAAGTATCAAGTATAGTATTAGTATTAATGTTTAATATAGTCAATGATTCAACCATTGACTATATAGTCAATAATTCAACGTAGTGTTCTATAATCAATAGTAATATAGTGAACGGTTGGCTACTCTGTATGGATTTTTTCTATGGTATTGTTTTACATTTTACATTTATAAACAAACAAATCAAGCCAGCTTTCAATGGTAAACAAAAAGAAGTCAATATCAATACTGAATCAAACAAAAATCAAACAAACAAACATATAACATAACCTGTTACTGTCACTTCACTGCTTAATAATCTGGGTTTTTTTGTTTTGGACGTTTTGGTTTTTCAACGTTCCGTCTATAGTTGGGAAATTAATAGGCGTTAGCATTAGCAAACACAAAATTTCTGCAGCCTCCTAAAATAATTATAAAATAAACTTTTCTCTAGCTAAGTAAGTTAATTTAACGCAATGGGCCTAGGCCTAGTCTTCAGACATTACTGATAATTTTATAGACCTTGTGTAACCTCAGTGATTCTCTAAACCTACAAGTGAGTTGAGTTAAAAATTATTATTTAGGCATAGTATATAATACAATGTAATTTAACTTATTTACGCCACTTGTGTAGGACACCACATTTTAGCCAACAAGCTAACTAAGTTAATTTGATAGGCCTAAGTAGGAAATGGGAATCATAAATCTTCGATGCTGTATTGTAAAGTCTTCCATTTGGGAGTAGCCCTTAAGTAATGACAACAAGACATTTTACCTTCTCCTACTTATTGTCTAACCAGACCTACTAAGTTAAATTAATCTTAGTACTGTAGCCTACAAATCTTATCCTTTTCGTCTCACTGTGGATCGAGTTACATTAAGTAGCCGGTTTGTTGTGTTTAGACCTCATCTTACCTGTCAATGTGAGGACTGCTCTTGCACTAAGACCTATCAAGAATCAATATTTTATTCCAGTAGACACATAACTTAACTTACATGCATTGGTATATTCATTCATCATGATTTAAGTTATATCTAGACTATTTTTACATTTAGACAGGGACACAATCCTCCTGAATATTACTCTAATAAGTAGGGAATGAGATGCCGTACCCCTAAGCCTATGTAGCGTTTTCACTGTCCGTAATCTGCAATTTCTTTATAGCTTTGTGAACCATATGAAAGTTTAGTTATCAAGATCAAACCATTTAAAAAGATACTATGTCTACCGTACTTTTCTCATAATCGAACTAGCTACCATCCAACCTCAAATACCGGTATGTAAGTTAGCCTAGTAATCAATTTAATTGAATTATGTAGTATAAGGGCTAGACATAGCCTATTATGTAATGTTTAATGGCCAAATAAACAATTTGAATTTGAATTATCAATAATTTAAGATGGGGACGCCACTATTTGCGTATTTTAACCCAAATATGAGTGTAGGATGAGTGGCGTGATCTTTTAGTCTTGTTAGTGACTAAGGCTGACCTGTTCCTTAGACTGTTAATTAACAGCCCATATAGCCAGTGGCAACTAAGGGACCTACTGTAGGCGAGAGCACAGAAAACATACTACTATAACCCAGAATGCCAACCGCATGGTAAAAAGCGTTAAGTGTTTTGAGAGAGCTTTGCCTGTCAATCGTAGGCAGCGCCACCAGCGTTGCTATGCTGAGTGCATGGCAACGCTGGTGGCGCTGCCTACGATTGACAGGCAAAGCTCTCTCAAAACACTTAATGCTTTTTCCCACGCGGTTGGCATTCTGGGTTATAGTAATATGTTTTCTGTGGCGAGAGTTGAGAAGTCCTCTGAGTCCTGGCCTATTCTAAAAATGCAGGCGCTTGCTACTCGACGGCTAGGCGCGCTGGGCGGGTAACTCATGTTCCACGCGGCAGTCAGGGCTCACATCCACTGTGTTAAAACCATAAGAGCACCTGCAAATACCGTGTGGCAACATACAAACATTGCTGCATTCGCTTTGGCTCAGAGGTTTTCTTAACTCTCACCTACAGTACAGTTTATAGTGGAAAAGAATATGGTCTAGACTCATCAAGTAGGATGGAGCTTAACTTGTGTCAGGCGCAGCTATCAACTATTTTATTCTACTTAGGTATATATAACTTAAGTAAGGCCTATATAGCCTACCCTGGTGGGTATACTTAATTACCGGTACTTACTTACTTACTTGAACACTACTTTGCATACACACCAATTTGGAACAGATTTCAATTCGATAGTTTTTTTTTTTCCTAATGTGATGAAACTAATTTTCGCAGGGGGCAGGAACTTGTTAAACAATAACATGGCAGTGAATTAAGTAGAAAACACAGTGTTAGTCTAAAATTTGAAACCAGCTTGCTAGGTCGTAATACTAGCTCGATGGAGACACAAATTTACAGGTAGCCTTCATATAAGTGAAATAAATGTAGGATTATGTGCAATAACTACTTATTCACTTGATTTAGGCTACCTACTTACTAACCAAATATAATTTGTTCTTTAGTCAAATAAGGTTGGAAACACTGTGCCAAGATGCTGCCGAGCATGCCATCGTTGATGACTCCAATCAGGGAGTTAGGGGATGACTCGAGTTCAAGCAGTGATGATTCACCAACTGTTATTCCGGTAAGCTGATTACTTAGGGTAGCCTTTTAAATTGTAAGATTGAGGGTACCGGTACTTCAAAATCAATTAAGAGGGACCACCAAGATGATATTTGACTTGTTATTCCCTCTCAGTCTTAGGCTTAATTATTTAAAAATTTGTTTAAATAATCTGTAATTTGTGTAAAATCAACCATTTATGGTATTGCACATATGCTCCATTCACTTTTATTTAAGTCAAGGTGGAACCTCTCAAGGTTTAGTGGAAGTCTGTTACAGTCTTTATGTTTTGTACACATTTAACCTAACAACCAAAATAGGATTTGTAGCCTCAATCTAACTTATGTTGGTGTAGATTCTATCTCTTTGTTCAAAAACCAACTATCCCTCTTACGCCTCTTTCACGGCGCGCGCCGCTTCGTGTGAAAGAGGCGTTACTGTGCGGACTTAAAACATAGACCAATGAATATTTTGACATAGACAATTTGAGAGTGTTGGAGTCAAGGAAATGAAAGCGTACATTTATATTTTACTCTAAGTATATTTGTTTTTGTGTTAATAGGACCCTCTTATTGAATGATTACCGGTAATATTCTTTCAGGTTGAAAATGGTGGGCTAAACGAAAACCATATCGACAGTTCCTTGCCAAGTTCGTGAGTATTTTGCTTAAAACTCATATATATTAGAACTAGTATGTTTAAAATCAATGATGTAATTAAAGGTTTCATTGTGCTTTGTAGCCCAGGATCACTTGCAGGGAGAATTTAAGACTTCTAATGTGTACTGATTCTTTTAACAGTGCAATTTAGTATGAAATAGTCAGCTGTTTAGTAGCTACGCTGACTAAAATTAATGTAACAATTGGAATAAAGAGATATTTATTTATTTAGAGTTAAATTTTTTAATTTACCTGCCTGTTCGTTAATCCTACGTTTATGCCAACCGGTTTCTAGATTAAAATCTCATCTTTAGGCTTCTTCAGATATCACTCAAGTTGAGGTCATCGGTGAACACAAAAACACAAACAAAAATATAAGTAAAACATCAAAACACCGCAGGACTACTGTACAAATATTTACAGCTGGTCAGTACAGGACACTAAGACGTGACACATGTAGATGACTGAATCAGAGACTACAATAAGATTGAAGTGTCCTTGCTCCACTCCCGTTATTTATTGAATGCTGGTGGTATTGTTGTCCTATAATCACTGTGTCATAGATTATGTTGGATTTAAAAGAAGACCTTTGATTTAAATTATGTTGCGGCTCATTCTTGATTGATTTGTGGATCTCTAATTCTTCCAAGCAGTCTAAAAATTGTCCTTTTTATGGTCTTTGAGTGCTCCAAACATTCATGAGTTTAACCGATAAGAATCTCAATGATTATGAAAGAAAAACATTTTGGAGGGATAGTGAAAGAAACCTTTTTTTACAAAATTATCAAGACCACCAAAGTGACTACCCATCGAAAATGAAAGTGTGATCCACTAAACAAAGAAGAGAGGTTTTTACGGAGCACTTACCGCATCTCAGTGTGCTTATTTGTTGATATATATCCTTAGAAATAGGTTTACCAATATTTAAACTGATAAAATTTTTTATAAAAAGAAGTGATTATTATGAGAGATACTTGAATTGAAAATTATGTTAACAGGGCACCCAACAATACTCCTGAACCCAGTAGTGTTGAACCTATTCAAACACAGGATGAGGAACAGGTAAGGACAAGATTTCTTGAACGTTTCAGTAATAAGACTATTAACTGCAAGATCTCTTTGACAACACATTTTACGTTCAATCCTGTTGCACAAACCTTGAAAAGATGTTGACTTTGGCAACAATTTGTAATGTAGAAAATTGCAAACATTGTTTAGACGTCAATAATATTTGATAAAACCACACCAATTCAGCAAACTGACATTGACTTTGTTTTTCCAATTCCAATAAAACTCAAGTAATGCATAGTTTTTATTATGAAACCAACAAATTGTGTAGGGTCTAAGTTCATTCTTACTAAACCTCTATTGAATAAACACTAAATAGCAATGTTGATGGATTCGCATTGGTCCTTCAAAATTTAAGGATTGAGTTCATGCTTATTTATATAAGTTAAATTTAGACACTATATAAAGTAGTTTAAAAGATCATGGAGTCATTGGTGTTATAATTGTATGGAATACTTACTACCATGTAGGGGAGACCGGGGCACCTTGGGCCAGTTTTATATATTAGCTTTTATAATTTATTAATGACTTTACTAAATGCAAAACTAATATTTTTATTGTAAAGTACCATATTTCATTGATCTTAGCAATTTTTTTCTGATTTTTTTCATGGAAAATAAAATTTGTAGTAATTTTTTTCTAAACTATTTACATAATGGCCCACTCTACCCCACAATGGGGTAGGGTGGGCCATGAATAAATATTATGCCTTAATGTTGAGAAAAAACATTAGTATTCAAAATACAAAGTTGAAAACCTATGAACATAATTTAACAAACATTAACAACCCTTTAGAATTGAAAATCTTTTAAAATTAGAAGTCCTTTGATATAAAAAAAAATCTTTAAAAATGAAAAGACGATTGTTTAAAAATTTCAGGACAAACAATTGACGTAACATTGAAGATCAATAGAAAAGCTCAATTGAGTTAAGGTCCTTTCTGTGCCTCCATGTGGTATTGGTTTTGGAAGTTTCCGTTCTATGTCCTGTTTAAGAGCTAGGCCCAATGTGCCCCGCCAAAGATGGCCCACTGTGCCCCTAATGTTGGTTTTTAGGTTAGATTTAATTACCACCAAACTAAGATGAATACACAAAAGAAAGAAAGTGCAGTGGCTTGGTAAGATATAAAACTAAATATCTATGTTAATTTTAATTTTTAATATATACAATAACTTGCCAAAATAAGATATCTTAACACTACCTGTTTCAGCAATCAGACTACCAAAAACAAACATGTGCTTCTAACTTCCCTCCAAATAGTTGTAGACTCTAGATTTTTCTCCTCAGTGTGACCAACCTAGAGACCTTTCAAAAGAATATTTACCTGGTTTATTGGAAGTAGTTCAGTATGATATATTAACTATGGCCCACTGTGCCCCAGTTTCCCCTACCAATTCAACTATGGTATCAACTACAGTTCTGAATATTTCGCTAAAATTATGTTACATAAATGTATTTTAGTCCAAACCAAACCCAATGGTTGAATATAGATATTTTTATTTAAATATGTCTTTAGGCGCAGGAAAAGGCCCGAACAGCAGAAAAAAGACCATCTACCGAGCCAACTTCAGCGCAAAAGAAGAAAAAGAAAAAGCAGCATAAGAAAATCTTGGCTGCACTGGCAGTAGAGAATGGGGACTTGCTTGATGCATCAGCTCAAAGTTAGTATATTTTTCATTAATTACTTTAATAAATTTTGGAATTGAAGTTAAGTCTTTAAATAAGTCTCTTGAATCCAAACTCAAAATTACCTTTATAGTGGTAAAACCAACTTATGTAGCCATACCCTATGGCTAAACGTACCATAATATAATGTGCATAATATTATTAAGCTTTGTCATTATTAGTTTATGACTTTAGTCCCATGATGGCCTAAAACTGATTTCAAATGAGTATAGTTATCAATAATAAACTCATTTAATACTTAATACTTTTCAATGAAATGGCGACCATACAAAGTAGGTATTTTAAGCCAAGTATGAATGGAGATGAGAGTAGGATGAGTGGCGTGATCTTGTAGTCTTCTTAGTTTCTAAGGCCGACATATTCCTTAGACACAGCTGTTAATTAATAGCCCACACAGCTAATGGCAACTAAGGGACCTACAGTTTATAGTGGATCCGAACCACATTTTTGCCTTTTTTTGATATATATGAATTGGTCTAATTATCAGGATAGTACTGCGGATAGTCGCATTTAAGGTTGTCAAAACACCTTTCTGTCGTATTATAGCGAAAACAGCTGTTTTCAACATAAGCTTTCCAAGACCAAAGTGGCTCTTTTATCCCTAGGGAAATGAATTAGCTGAAGTCAGGGTCAGCCGTACTTTTTTGTATTTTTCCTTTAATTCTTTACAACTATAGGCTATAAGTTGTATGTATTATAACATTTCAAGTGCATGTAAATGATGATGTATTGTGGGTTTATTTGGAAGAACTGTTTTTTTCACCCTGCTTTTACTCTTTGCTTTGTTGCTTATACTTGAGGCTAAAAAGTCACTTTACTGATAAAATATAGTATATTTCAATTGTCTTTATGCCCATAGCAAGTTTTAGTTAGTTTTTGAGTTTAATGTGTTTCAATCCGTAATATTTTCACACCATAGATCACTGTTTATCCAATACTAGCTGGCCCGACAGACGTCGTCCTGTCCTAGTGTGGATTTATGTCAAATGCTCGTTCATTTTCAAGATGAGTTCGTTCGCATGGCTCAATCATGTCCTGGTTAAAGTTTGTTCGCTACGCTCACTCACCTTTTGGTTGTTAATTAGCTGTTGAAGTTTGTTCGCTACGCTCACTCACTTTTAGGTTGGAGCTCGTTCGCTGCGCTCACTTGCCTTCAAGTTAGCTCGTTCGCTACGCTAACTCGCCTCCAGGTTGAAGTTCGTTTGCTACGCTCACTCATTCCACTATGCGCTCACTCACCTTTTGGTTGCAAGTTAGCTGTTCTCATAAATTAAAAAAAATATAGTGCTGCACCCTGTTGGTAAATCTATTAACTTTTTAATGCTATTGAACATTACAGAATCAGATAGTTTAGTTGAACCAGCTGTTAAGATTCTTTAATTCCTTTTAAATATGAGTACTCATAAGGTTAACATGGGAAACTCCAGAGCCACTGGGGCGGAGCCCTTTTGACGGATCTGCACCAAACTTCACACAAACCATCCTTGAATAATGCTTAATAATGCCTGAAAGTTTCATTACAATCTGTCGAGCGGTTTCGGAGTCCATAAAGGACAAACATACAAACATACAAATATACAAACATACATTGGATTTTATATAGATTCAGTTGATTGCTGGTTCACTTTGCATTCCTTGATGTCTTGAAACTGGGCCCAACTTTCCTTGGTCATTACGCTTTTAATAAATGATTATCATTCTATAAACGTTTGGTTCTTGTCTGTAACAAGGCTGTCATCATTAAGACTATTTTCTAACTCATCATATTTGCCTAAACAAACGCAACCCTTTGGATTAATGTCACTTACCGACATTTAAGAAATAGCCTAAGTAAGAGACTTGTCATTTCTATTCAACTATTATTGAGATTATTTTGTTTTTGTCGTAGGTTTCGCTGAAGCTTATTTTCAAAAAGTCAAAACTCGTCTGGATGATGAAAAATGGTCACAGTTCGTCCAAGAACTTGTCAGTTTCGAGGTAAGAATATCGTCATCTAGTTTTGAGTATTATATTGTTTTCAATGTTAATGTAGTACATTAGAATCCCTTTTCTTTGAATTTGATTCTTAAAAACCGTACAATTATTAACTTTGGTTCCTTTTTCACAAAGTTATGATCCTAAATAAAGAATAGGGGTGTGCCATAGGGATGTGGACCGGGTAAATACCCAGTTATTATACTTATCTCTACATCATAAAAATACATTAAAAAAATTTAACAGATCAGCTTATTATATCATATTACGATAATTAAACTTCACATAAAGCTTTTTGTGACAAATAATAGCTAAATGTACCCCGTCAGACAATCCATGACATGAAGTATCAAACGTGCTACATATGTTTCGGTGGTTATTTAAATAACTCCACCATCGTCAGGCTAACAAAAAGATCCACTTGGCTGTGTTATTTAAACATCGGCCAGAACATATGTAGCACGTTTGATACTACATGTCATGGATTGTCTGACGAGATACATTTAGCCATTATTTGCCATATAAACGCAATCCTGGGGCTATAAAAATGAGTTTTAGGCTTTTTGTATTCTTTTTACTATTTATTACACTGGCTGGATAGCTGAGTGGTTATAGTGCTCGCCTAGTAATCGAAAGGTCGCCGGTTCGATCCTGAGAAATGTAAGTAGCTTTTTGATGGTTTGAAACTGGACCCAGCTGTTCCTGATCATTGGGCTTTAAATAAATGATCCTGACTATGAAACAGCTGATCTTAGTCAGTAATAAAGCTACACAGGTCATCACACACCATCTACAATCATCCTTCACTCATATTTGGGTTAAAATAAGCACCTAGGTGGCGTTCCCATCTCATTGTTATTGATTGATTTTAAAGTCAAATTCGCTATAGGAAAAACCAGAGGGTGAAAGGAAGCCTGTGGAACTCTACCGCAAGATGGAAATTCTCCTGAGTTCTCACACTGACCTGATCGATGAGTTCCTCAAGTTCCTCTTGCCTCACCAAGCACTCGAGGTCAACAGAGTCATGGACTTCTTTAGTCTCGACAAGATGACCGAGTTCTTTCGCAAACTCAACGTAAGTTAGGTACCTCTAGTATATAGTTTATTGCTTATAACACCTGACTATACTAAACTACTGTATTTCAAAGAGCTATACAGAGAGAAAACAATTTATTAATAAAAATAAAAACGTCTGTCTTAAAAAATAAGTTTGCCAATGACACAGAAAAAATATACACTTAAAATATTGAAGGATTATAACAGCTATAAGACTGATTAATTTTTGTTTGCCTTATAAATGACTAGCAGAGTACCCGTCCTTCGTACGGGGTTGGCATATAACTATCAAATGCTTATAGCAGTTATGAGTGAGGACATGGTTTAAGAAATTTCGGTTCTTTTTGAAGTTCGTTCGCTACGCTCACTCACCTTTAGGTTGGAGCTCGTTCGCTGCGCTCACTTTCCTTCAGGTTAGCTCGTTCGCTACGCTCACTTGTCTTCAGGTTAGCTCGTTCGCTACGCTCACTCGCCTCCAGGTTGAAGTTCGTTCGCTCACCTTTTGGTTGCAAATTAGCTGTTGTCATAAATGTAAAAGAAATAATGCTAGTGCTGCACCCTGTTGGTAATCCTTGTAACTTTAATGCTATTGAAAATCATAGAACAGAACCAACTTGTTTAATTGAAACAGCTGTTAAGATTCATTAATTCCATTTCTCATAAGGTTAACATGGGAACCTTTGCTCCAGAGCCACTGGGGCGGAGCCCGGAAGGATTTTTGGGATAAAAATATGCCTATATGTTGATCGGGAATATGAGCTATCATCATGCCGAATTTCAGCCCGATCCGACCAGTAGTTTTCACGTTTACTTTTCCCATACACACAGACACCACCTCTTTTTTATAATAGTATAGATTTCTCATTATAGTCAATGAACCTCTTAATGTTTCACGTATAATAATTTTCAAAAAGGATCTGTCCGAATCATATTGTTTCCAAAAGTTCACAAAACATTTTGATAATGTTCCTCTAGAGCCAATAAACAATACAATCACCTACATTTTTGAAATTTTGCTTGAAATATTCCAAGGTTGATTCATAAATTTATTTCTTTTCCTATTTACTTAATTAGGTTGATTTCATATCAAATTATTGGATTAAGAATTATCCCTTTGTTTGTTTATCTTTCAATCAACAAAATATCCACTCTTCTAGTTTTCTCATTATAGTCAATGAACCTCTTAATGTTTCATGTATAATAATTTTCAAAAAGGATCTGTCCGAATCATATCGTTTCCAAAAGTTCACAAAACATTTTGATAATGTTCCTCTAGAGCAAATAAACAATACAATCACCTACATTTTTGAAATTTTGCTTCAAATATTCCAAGGTTGATTCATAAATTTATTTCTTTTCCTCATTTAGCCTACCTAATTAGGTTGATTTCATATTATATATTTTATACTTTATCCTTGTTATTTTCATTGTAATTGTACTCTATATTCAGATGTAACCTACTGTTGGATTATTTTATTTCTTTGTATGTCCTAATTAATTATCAACTTATCATCCTTTATCCTTATTTAAGAACTTGGTCGGTATGTTATTGTTTTTGGTTATCTTTTTTTAGTTTATTATTTTGCTTATGATTTTAATTTTGACACCCCATGTTGATTATTGGTTATTGCCTACACACCAAGCAGCAGTAATGACATGAAAATCCCCAAAACATTATTTTTGGCGTCACTCTTATTGTTATAATATTTTATTTGATTTGTGCTGATATTCATGATAGAGTCTCAGTCTACCAATTCTTATTTTGTGTGATATTTTTGAAATGTTTTTCTTTAAGTATAAGAGTGTGATATTTTTGTAATTTTATGTTTTTGTGTCAAATCTAGTTTTTATGTAGGCTGTGGGCTGTGAGTGTATGTGTGTTTATTACAATGTTTTGGTTTTTAAAAGTATTTTTGTTGTCTTTTAAGTTAGGCTATCACATTTTACCTTTTATGTTATGTTAAAGAATATGGTTGTATTATTGAGTAATTTCTCATCAACATTTTTCTTTTTAACTTACTGTACTGTTCAACAGGACAATTTTTCATTTGTATTTTTGTGGTGTAGTTTCCATTATTTATTTATGCTGATATTCATTATAGAGTCTAACAATTGTTGTTTTGTGTCATAAGTTTCAGATTGTGATTTTTTGTGATCTTATGGTCATCATGTGACAATCTAGTTTATATGTAGGCTGTGTGTTTGTGTATTTATTACAATGTTCTGGCTCCAGAAGTATTATTTCTTTAAGTTTTGGATTTAACCTTTTATGTTATGTTTTAAAGAATAGGGTTGTATTGTTTAGTGACTTATCAACATGTTTTTCTTTTAAATAACTGTTCCTCCAGTTTTCATTAATTAAATTACAATTATCTAACTAACATGAGTAATCCAAGTTATTTTAATACCCTTTGCATATAATTATTTTAAATTTAGGATAAGTTTTTTTATGAAGTTCTCTTCCATTTATATATATAATTGTTCTTACAGTTTCTTAAAGGTTAATTATCATGTTTCGTGTTTGTAAGGAGGAAGAAAAGGTAAGCATAAATAAAACACTATAACTTATGATATGTATATTTAATGCAGCAGCCTACAAGTAGGCAAACATTTAATAACAATGTTTTTGTGTATACTTAAATGAATGAAGCCATTAAAAACTAACCTCATCAGGCCTAAGCCCATATTACGCGCAACTACTCGACTCGACTCGACTCGAATTGAAAAATCACTACTCGCCCCCCCCCTATTGATTTCATATCAAGTTATTGGATTAAGTATTATCCCTTTGTTTGTTTATCTTTCAATCAACAAAATATCCACTCTTCTAGTGCTTCCGTCAGAGGAAAGACAATGTACTTCTTCATGCACTTCCCATGTATTATAATTCTCCCATTCCATAATTCTTCCCTTTCCATTATAATTCTAGGTAAAAGGCTCTACTTTCTCTGTGTCATTAGACTCGGCATTTGTTGACAGATTCTCTTGATGAAGCGTCAAGTGCGACAAGTACACACAGCTCTGGAGTCTCTCACATCGAGGCAGAACGTTTCATTGATCGATGTTAAGGAGAGTATTCTACCTCTGATCAAGTCCAGCCCCTTACTGACCAACCTGTTCTTGGGCCTACTTCCTGGAGAGAGGCCACCTGACAGGTGGGGGAAAGAGGGACCAGAGGGTAGATAGGGGAAGGGAGAGATTGGGTGGTTGGCCAAGGCCCGTAATCCTACCTCAACCCCTGATCATACACTTAGTCAGAAGCTTCATTTTCTGGTTGTAGTGTTTTTGGACCAGTTATTTATAAAAATAACAAAGGAGTTTTAAATTTATATTTTTAGAGAATTTCCTTATTTTAGAACTTTTTCCATTACCATTTGGTATATAACAACGCTTCAGTATTATGAATTATTTGTTTTTTAAGCTCCCCAAAATATATTAGAAAGAAATTTCAAAATTTTATGGTTTGAGCAAAAAAATGGGAAACTCTCATTTTTACCCTTGGGTGAAGTTAAAATTCTTAATGTAACTTGTTTTTACAGCTGGCTTCAAAAAGTTATAGCTTCAAACTTCATATACAGAATAAGTATTGAGCACCCTGAATTGATTGTTAGGTTATTTTACAACATAAATGCAACTAATACCTCTCCAATCCCATTCCTCGTGATTGTGACTTGTAAGTCACACTTCTGAGTTCTGATTGCCTAAGTCTCTACAAATGAGCATAGATCTAGCCTTGAATGACCTCTCACTGCAGTATTATGTATTAATTGGCAGAAATTGAGGTAGCTTATTCCTTGTAGAGTTTCAATATTTTTACTACCTCAATGTTATTGACTTTTTGTTCAACAGCCTAATGACAGATTTTGAACAAGCTGACACCAAGGAGGAATCAGAGTGTGAGACGATCATCGTACCTGATCTTGCCGACCCTTACGGCACTGATAAATGCATCTGCAGCTGTCATCAGGCTCAGACTCGGCACTGTTTTGCTTGCGGAATTAAGGTAAAATCAGTCAGAGTTAGTTAAATGATGTGTGTTCTGCAGAAATTGGTTTGCTATTATTGTCATTATTACAATTAGGCCCACTGTCTTGTTACTAAATAGATTGATATACAACCCCAAATGCCATAGTGTGGGGGTTGTCATAATTAATTTGTGATAAAAATGTTAGAGAATTTAGTATATAACGTTTTATTATGCCTAAATTGTATATCTTAATAAACTGAGTAAGATTGTGAAATCATTGTGATTATCTTGTAAAGCTTTGTCACCAATCAAGATCAGCTGGTTCTATGCTAGTCTTAATCAAAAGTGTGTGTGAGTCTTATGCAGATGGTTGTCCCAACTACCAAAAGTCTGAACTAAACGAGAGGGAGTTAATTTTACTTTGTAAGTCAACAGATAACAAAATGGCTGTTAACATTGGTTGGATATTTGAGTGTAAGGTTACCAGTTTTATCCTGAAGAATCAGTTCATTCATTTATAATTGTTCAAACTGGTAACAGTCAATCTTAATTATTGGGCTTTTCATAAATTTTCCTCGATAAATAAACAGCTGATTTTAGACACTACACAAGGTATATCACTCATCACAAAGTAATCATCCATTGGTTGAAACACGCTTTAGTTTTGTCTGCATATCAAAACGTTCACACCAATATTATCAACAGTATCTGAACGGAAGAGTATACATGCAGTGTGGAAAATCTCTGCGGCCAGCCATGATCGAGTTCAAGGACAAGAAACATCTGGATCTGCTCAAATGGGAGGAAGCAGAAAAATCACGGAGCAGACGACGATTGGTGCCTAAAACATTGCATTCTCCTGGCCTTTTCGACAATAAACCAAATGCAGGTTGGTTAATCACCTCCTTGAAAAGTTCCATTTTCTTCAACTTTCACTTTTGTAGGACACTAGGCAGGCTCTAGACCGGATTTGTTTTCTTATTACTTCATGCTAGGTTAAAGGGTCGTGGCTTTATCACTTGGATAAAATCCATTGGTGATTGACAGGATTAGAACCTGGAACTTTGAGGACCAAAGTCCCGAACCACTAAACCAGATTATGCCCCATGGCCATAGTTATTGTACTATTTTGTCTATTTTTATTACAAAACAATTTCAATGGTCATGATTTGTCCAATAACAAATAATGATAACTTTAATAATAATTTTATGACTAAACTAATCACACTCTGTTCCATGCCCAAGTCAAATAAAAAAAAATATACTCCAATGAAGTGAACACATGCCATGCATACATGCCAATACTCACACCAATAAAGTGTGATTTCAGGCATACATCATTTAGTTGGCCAGAAGTAACATTTTAGACAGACTTTCACAAGTAGCAAGATGATCATGCCAAATGTTTCACACCATCAGTAAACTACCATTTTGTTTGTATAAGCAATTTAAGATGGTTACTAACCATTGGAGACCAGAGATGTATTAGTCATTAGGGTTGTACATGGGGATATATTTTTGAATCAATGTTGTAAGTTTAATGATAAGTCTACAAGAGTTTGAAAGGAGAGTGGAAAGGCTTACATAAACGTTACACAGTTAAAAATATCATTCTGTATCAGATTCCGAAGAAGACTGTGGAGTCAATAAAAAGTCTCCGAGAACACCCAGGACTCGCAACTCAAAACCAAAAGTCAGCAAGAAAGAAACAATCGAAAACAAAGAAGAAGTTTTAGATGGGATTTTCCCATTGCCTGATGCAAAAGCAGATAACAACCCACAGGGAAACGTTGACGGTGAAATAAAACAGGGCGGAGCTGATGAGCACGACTGTGATGAAATAGTTCTGGAGAACGATTGTAATACTGAAGAAGACGAAGAGGAGTATTTGAACAAAGGTGTAAATTCTGAAAATGAGAGCAGCATTGAAGCTGAAGATAATCCGAAAGATTTGGAATGCAGCTTTGACGAGGAAGTGGATGATTTCGACCATAGTGAAATAGAAATTTGTGAAACAAGAAATGACATACAAGAGGAAAGATTGAAACCAAACGAAGATAACAATCCAAAAAGTGAAAGCTTGTCAAAGACTGTTGATAAGATTGCAGGAACTACAAAAGTTGAACAGACTGAGTTAGAGTCTTCATCTAAAGACGTTGACATTGACATTGTGAAGGTTGAGCCAATGTCAGTAAGCTCTCATGATGTTATGGAGAAAATGGAAGATGTTGATCAGCCATTTACTGAAGCAAGCTATGAAATTAAAACAGAAGTTTTAGAAATTGTTGATGTGTGTGCTGAACAGTGTGCAGAAAATGTCAATCCTCAAACGCCAAGTGGATCCAGCCATGACGACTCTTCATTCAAAGAGTGGACAAAAGAAGAGGATAAAATCATCCTGTTGACTTTTCAACATGAAAGTGGACTCGAGCAGACATTCAGAACAGCAAGTCTGCATCTACCTAACCGCACACAGGAAGAGGTAAGAATTGATTGAACTTTTATCGGAATTTAGAATTATTCTATAATAACATATCATATTGACTTTGGCTAATTGTCTCGTTTAATGTTGTAGCAGCTGGTGATTAAAGGCGATGGGAGGGGTCTGTAATTGTAAAAAAATATGCTGTCACAAAAATGTATTAGAGAATGTACAAAAAAAATTTTTTAACTTTGTTTTATTAATATTAATTCAATTAAATTTCATACTACTGGAACACCAAATATTAATAAAGATTAATGTTTACCTTGTGGTATTCCTATCCAATGCTAATTTGTGACATGTTTCGTCAACACAATGACATCTTCAGGCATCCACTATGACTTTTATCATCAATGAATATTAATTAATTATTAACAAAAATAGTCATTACACTTGTTACAAAAAAAAAACATTTAGCTAATAACAATAACCAGTATCGACATTGCGGCGGCCACATCTCTCGAACGCAAACAATTCGCCCAGAACTAAACAATTTTCAAAACTTGAGATATAAACTTGTTTTTTTTTTAGTTTTATTTCTGTCCAATATCTCTGTTACTTATAGTTTAGAGTAGTTGACAATATATATTGTACATCACTCGTCCAAAATGTCTTTACCGTACTTGTATGTTAATCCCACGAAATAGAACAACTGTACTCGTCCGGTAAACGTCTATTTTCTTGATTAGTAATGTAATTAATATACTATTATGTACCAGTACTGGTGCTAGAAATGATCTGAAATTGGTAACAATCAATCTCAATTCGCAATAAAACAATATTTTCCTAAACTGTGGCTAGACTAAATTGATGAACGACTTAAATTAATTGGTTTGACAAAGTTAATTAACAAATTAACAATTAATGAAGTTAATTGGTAAATAATGTTTTTTTTTTTTTAAGTAGCCTACTTAAGAGTACTTACTTTTTGATCATAAGTATTTTACTAATGGTGTATGAAGTAAAACCTAATTATTGTTTTATTTTTTCAGATCCAACAGAGATTTGAGGTTTTACTGAAACTTCTGAAGGAGATGTACCCTAATAATGAACCCCCAACATAATAGGTAAAGTGATTAAAAATCTTACCTAAAGCCTCCAATTGATCTAACTAAGAAGAACCTGGCTTGCTGAGACAAATGATTCAATGATTTGCGATTTCCTTACTTAGCTGCAGTCAAATCTGGCAGCAACTTTGGAAGGACAATTTCTACTCTTCGTCTAATTTGTTACAACTTGTGAACTTCAGGCATGTGATGTTATGCCAATAACTTTACTTTTCGGTTGCTTCGTAGATCATAAAACATGATCGATGACCGAACAGTTGGCGTACCTAAGTTGTGACCGAAGTTTTGTGTTGTTTTTTTGTCCATTGCAAGCTTGCAAACCGAAGGTTGGATAAAATTATTATTAGACCCTACTGTAGTTACTCGAGAGTGATGTAGGTGGAATGTGTTTGACATGTAAGCTCAGTGGGATTTTTTATTTTTGTAACAAATTTTATTTAAGTATAACCTAATAATTTACTCACCCTATATTTTCACCGATCACTTGGTAATTTCTACTTTGTACCATGTTTTATACAGGTGTTGGTATTTGATGTTCGGATATGTACTGAATGTCCCAAAAGGGTTTTGGTTTTATATTACTTGGCCGTTTATGCACCAAAATATGTGAAACTACAATTTATTAAGTCGATTTTGAAAATATTTTGTGAAAATTTTAGCTTCCCAACATTTAAAGAGACAAAATGGTGGCATCTTATCTTATCTTATCTAACAGGGGCAGGTCGAGACCTTAAAGCACTTCATCGAAAATCAAATTATTGCGCACCCCAGACAATTGCTTTCTTGTTGACCTACAAGTTAAGGCGCCCAATGAATGCCGGTAGCTTCCCAATTAGTTCATCCTCAGGAAGGTATCTACATCTAGCCATATTTCCAAGAGTTATCAATCCAGCGTCAGAGAGCTCGTTACAATCAAAGAGTAAGTGATCAGCTGTCTCTTCTGACCTATCACAGTACCTACAGATCGGTTCACCATCATATAAGCCCATCCGTTGTAAATGTTTCCTGAATCTTCCATGACCAGTTATCAGTTCAACAGTTAATTTAATTCTTCGTCTGTCTAGTCTCAAGAGGTCAGAGGCGACCTTTTTGACCTCTTGAGACTAGAAAGACGAAGAATTTGATTGGTGGCATACTGAACATATTACCGATTTGATAACGTATACAGATCTATGAGTTATTGCCTTATTGGTTTACTGTGCTGTTGTTTTGGCACCTTTTTTGACAGTTTTATGATTTAAAAGTATGCTTAAGCAATAAAAAATTACACCTATAACCTTGACAAAGGCAGTTTTACAAATTTTACCGAACCAATTATCCCATTAACAACAATTTTTGTCAAAAAAGTAGGTGATTCTTAAGATTTGAATTTCAATTTAACTGCAATCAAGTTTCTCAACACCTCATACAGTATTCTTTTCCAGTGTTCAAACTGCTAAGTTTGGTGTCAAAAGTGTATGTATTCTCCAGTGTTTTCCAAAATCTTTGCTGTTGTACAGTCTCTTTCTGTGGTGTTGATTTGAATTATTGTTGTGTCTGTATATTAATTTTACATCACTTCTATTGTCTATATAAGTTTTAACATTTATAATGTTGTTAATAAACTTTATTACTCGTTTTAAAAATATTTTTCCTTGCGATCAACCAACAATTATTTTTTTCTCTTACAGTCTCTTGCCAAGAGTCAAGACAATCAAGGGCTGTTAGGCCTCGTTTACACAGTGTATTTTGAGTTACCTGCCATCTGGCTTTGTGTAAATGCGGAGAAGTAATATTTCTCAACTGGACTTCATATCCAGATCATTGATTGACTTTACTTTTTGCATGTTTCAGGTTTGAAGCAATTTTTAAAAGATGTAGGCCCTAGGCCTACTATCTATTTTGCCTTGTTAAAAAACATAAAAAATTCTATATATTGCTGTGCTATTATACCACTATTAATAGTGATTTTGTTGTTTGATGTTGAAATTCTATAACAACAAATTATACTAAAATCTAAATGAGATCCAAGTTTTTGTATAAGTAGATCAAATAAACTACTACTTTTCATCCTCTGTTGACTTTAAAGTATTAAAATTTTGCTGGTAGTTAACAATAATAAACTGTTGGAAAATAAATAATCATTGAAAACTCTATGACAGAGGCACCAAAACATAAATAATCGTGAAAAAATAATGGCTCGTCACCAAAATTTAAATACAGATGAATCGACAATTCAATACCAGGAGATTGTTGGATTAATACAATGTGTGAAAACTAACGGTTAAGCTAAGAATTTTTTTTTTTCGTTTTTATAAACTCCTTGAATATAAGGGCTTGAAATTAATCAGTTTTACTTAATCTCACTGGTGTAAGTAAACATAAATTAATAATCACTCGTAAAACTTAAGCATTTATTGAAAGTAACTTAGCCCATCTCTGAGTGAAAGTAATACAAGATACATCGTAAGTTGTTCATCGTCAGTCTTTTTTCTCTCTACAAGTTCGAGTTCCCAAACAGGCAGCAAACAAGCAAAACGCCAGGCAGAGAAGAAACTTCAACTTGAACTGCGCCATTTGAATAATCAGAAAAATTGACAGGAACCTGGAATAATACAACATTTTAACTGACGGTTACAATACCTAACAAAAGCGCTTTTCAGATGAAACTCAAACAACAATATATCGTTCCATAGCACTTTTCGGGAAAAAGACGCACAACAATATATCGTTGCATAGCACTGAAAGGGTTAACCACACTAGTTGTAAATTATTTAGGTCAACTATTGTATTTTGAATAGAATTACAATATTTCGGACATATATAGGTATAGTTATTACTTGACCTTATGAAGACTGTTATTTACTCTTGGTGTTTTTTTTTATTATGCAATTTAACTCTCCTCAAAACTGTAAGATATTAGTTCTTAAATTCAATTCCTTTCTTAAAATAACCAAGCCACAGAAAACATCTAGTCGATTGCTTGGGCTAAATTGAAATTAGTATAGACACAGGGCTGAAACTTGAAGCAATGATCATTTAGGAAAAGGATAAATTTCCACATTCTTTGACAAATTATTTTACCAAAATCATTTATAAATCTTGTTTTAGAGCAACTTAACTATGTCTGCCTACTTGTTACACCAAGAGAACTAGACTAGTTATTATGCACACACATTTAACCTCTAAATTCTGCAAAAAAATCTACTTAAAGGCAAATAACCTCACCTTAAACTCAAACCTTGAATGAACAAGAGTCAAAACTAAGTATTACTGTATTATCAAAATCGGTAAAACTAAGAAACTGAATCCTGTCTTGTCTTGGTCAAGTTACGCCTACTGATAAGGTTATGTTGGTATAGTGATAACAATACTAGCTTTATCAGCTAAAGCATGATTTGTTGGGTAATATTTTGACCAATAAAAATATTGCTTAGTTGAAGGATTAACAAATAGTTGCCCATTATGCTGAGCTATACTCTGCATGCTAAACTAGTTTTTTCATGCAATAACTATTCAATCTTAGTATAAATTTATAGATTATAATTTTAAGAGATTACTCAATTAAAAGGAAAAATGTGTTAACCAAATATTTCTACTCTTGTTATTTACTTTACTAAAAATAATTACTAAGCTATAACTTTTTTTAAACTAATTCATATTTTAAATTTAATATCGTTGAAATAATGTCTAACACTTTTATATCTGTTCTTTTTGTAAATATGAAGTGAATGTAATAGAATAGTTGGTTATAGAACAGTTTCTAATTGATTTGTAACAAATTTCAACTGCAAAAGAAAATCTTTAAAACTATCATAAACAGTTGTGAATATTTTCAAATATCTTTAAAATATATATTAAGCATACCTTTTTACACACTCAGTTTTTAACCTCACAATAGTGTACAATAAACACAAAGTCAAAAGAGAATCTGAAGCAGAGTCGTAAATCACGAGAAGACGTGTGCAATGTTGGAACTGATAGTTCAGAGTCGTCGATATTGAAAGTGAACACTTACATCACAGGTAAGTGCCGGTTAATTTCTCCTTGTTTTTTGTTAAAGCTTTGATAAACATTGATTATGAGGATTAAATGTAAAATGTTCTATGAAGTGATTTCCAAAAAATATGATTGTTTGGGAAATGTTTGTAATCACAGGATATAAAGATTCCATTCCAAACACTTCCTACTTGAGTCCTACAGAAAAGGCATGAGTTGTCTTTACAACAAATTTACTTATTCGTAGGATATTTAGCTATTATCATTTTCATCCTTTCTGTTGAGTAGAGACTTCTTTTCTGTAAAATGTGTACAGTAAAATACACCTTTATGCATGCAAATTAACTTACCAATTTTAAACTATTAGGCAAATTTTAGATTGACAACTCAACAAACTAAGTATTGGAAAAAAATTAAAACAAAAATAGTTTTATTAAATAACAATAAGTTTAACAATTAGTTTTAAAATGCTATTAAAAATATATTTTTTATCTTCTGTAGGGGTTTTTTTTAGTTACTGTTTAGGTAGGTACGAATAACTTAATCACAAACAGCAACAATTAAAACAAAACTTAAAAACTGATAGATTTTTTAGGAAATTTACCATATTATCCCTTTAAACCACTTTCAAAATTAAAAACTTTTGACCTACCGTAATAGATTATTCCCTTTATGGGAAATTCGCTAAAACCGTACCAAACCTTAAGTAGAAAACTAAATCACTTTTACCAACAAACCTTTGTGATACAGTAATTAACGAGTTGAATGATATTTTTTGACATTAATTTCAGCCCGTGCATCATGAGGCCTATGTACACACTTCTGATCCTGGGCCTCTACTGTCTGTGTGGTATCACGGTATTCCTAATCTTTGAGATGAAGACGCCAGACAACTGTCCGCATGAGTTCATGTACGGAGACACCTGCAAGAACCCAAACACACTAGCCAGGGGTCTGAGACATGTGAGTGTCAAATCTTCGGAAAACTTACGCTTTTTCTTGATTCTTGATATTGTGTTGAATGTTGATCAGCTGTTTCTTTAGGCATATTCGTGTTACAATATCACGAAAAACTTTACAAGTTTTGTTGGGATAGTGTGACACATAAAAATCTGAAAAACAGGATACTTACAAAAACAGGTTTAATTATTTAAATTTACATTTAACATGTTGTAGTCCTTCTCACTCAAAGTAAAATATTATCCCTCTAGTGCTGTAAAATTACTGTTCATCAGGTACCGCAATTTTGGTGATTTTACCCATAAAATACCATAGTTACTCCCCACCGCCACAGGAAACATACTACTATGACCCAGAATGCCAACCGCATGGTAAAAAGCATTAAGTGTTTTGAGAGAGCTTTGCCTGTCAATCGTAGGCAGCGCCACCAGCGTTGCTATGCTGAGTGCATGGCAACGCTGGTGGCGCTGCCTACGATTGACAGGCAAAGCTCTCTCAAAACACTTAATGCTTTTTATCATGCGGTTGGCATTCTGGGTCATAGTAATGTTTTCTGTGCCACCGCTTACCCATAAGGGTTGTTGACAAGCTTATCGGAGAAAGTATGTGTCAGTTTCGGAATACCACAATCCACAATAATTAGTACGATCATTTTACCAATTGTGATGAAACCTGTCTGCAATAATTCCTCCAATAACATAAACTTACTATAAGACAAGGAATAAATAAATATAGAAACAAAAACCCCTGCCGCAATAAACCTGCAGTCTCAGCGAATTTCCATTCACATGGCTAGATTTCCACTAAAATATTCCCTTAAAATAATTGTCAGATTTATTTACTTTTAATTAACATTAATTTTAATGAATACTTAGGTTTGCTGCTACAGGGAAGGTAGTGAGGTGTTTTATTATTGAAATGATGATAGCTTAGTATGATACAAAAAAATTTCAAATTTGAATAGGATATATTTATAAACAAGCAAACTACAACAGTTAGTTTATTTATAATCCATAATTGAAATTCTTAATTTATCCTTTTTTTTAATTTTCTCCTTAACCATTTTAGGGAGCTTACAACAAAGCTTAATTTTGCTAAATTATTTCTTTTAAGTCTACAAAATGGTTTAGAAGAAATTGAGAAGTTTAGGGAAATTTGCTAAAAAAATGTCTTGAATTTAGTTTAGTATTTTTCATTTTTGTTGCTTGGTTAGCATGTAATATCTAGCACATCTAAATTAACAAGCTTCATTTTTAGTTTGCAGACATGTCCCCGCTGTATGAAGTGTTCAGTCTTAATGCCAGTGATGCTAGCCACATAGACAACGTTTGCTACACGTTCTTCCATCTGGATTTGACGTCTTACCTGATTTTTAAGTCTGTTGTTTAGTAAGTATCACAGATATTAATTGTTATAAAATACTGACCACTTTCAAGAGCAATTTGCCATTGTGTCAATGTTAAAAGGAAGTCGGGAAAGCAACGGAGTTGTCACAGTCGAGAGTTTTCACTTAACTGGAATAATTTCAGTGGTGGAACTATCAGAGTTTCTGGGTTATTAATTATTAGTTTTATTTATTTATTTTTATTTAGTGGGGAAAGACCAACTTTTGGTTACAGAAAGTAGTAAACGTTCCAATCCCATGTTAGTTGTACCGGTAGCTTTTTTTAGAATGTGCTGCTGTCAGTCACTGATTTATGTCATACACACAAACCTTTTAACCAAGCAAAACTTAAGGACAACTTGCTGCAAACTTTAGCCCTTTAGATGCCACATTAATAATTATCAAAAATTAAGGATGACAAGGTTTTACATTCTGTGAGAAGCTTATTTAACTCTCTACTTTTTTGATTAAAAAGTGTTTACCCAATGTTTTTGGCTCACTTGGATTCCGGCTTATCAGGGTTCTAATCCATAATTGAATTTGCTTTATCAATGAAAAAAAAAACATTTTGTACCCTACTATATTATTTAAAGAATGTATTGAATAGTATTTTTGACTTTTAAACCTTTACACTATAATTACTTATGTTTTCTTAGTATGTCGATTGTTTTTGTTCCAATATAAAAATTCAACATCAATGAGCTAATGTATTATGCCAAAGTTTCCTCTAAAACAAGGCTGTGGTGTTGGTGTGTGGCAACGCACTGGCATGTCTGGTGCCATGGAAAAAACAAAAACAAACATGAAAAATATAAACATTAGCATATGCTCCATTATATAGTGCAACAGATGTTTCCGTTTGCCAGGTGAGCGGTGTTACCACTTTTGTCTCACCGCTGCCTATTTTTAGAGGAGGCTATGATTACGCTCCCTTTTGATCAGCATTGGCTAAGTACGTGAGCAGAATATAATTTTTCAAAGCGTGACATTTGCAGTCACAACAATACTGGAGAGATAACCCTGCTAGTGGAGTCAGAAGTGTCTAATAGACCTGGGGTGTTCAGAGCAGCCAGTAAACCAGGTCAGTACCATTGAATATCTACCTTGAATACCACGTAAAGGTACGTTGAAGAAAACATTCTGTTCCCACTTAAAGCTGTAGATTTTTTATATAAAAAGAACCTAGTTTCAGCCATTGTCAGAGTATACTGGTATTGATCTAAATATGTGGATCCTCTTGTTAGTCTGACGGTGGTGGAGCAAAAAAAACCCGTCAAAACATACTAGCAAGTTTCAAATTATACTACTGTACATGTTAGAGATTGTCTGACGAGTTATGTTTACTGTTTAGCCAATATTTGGTTTTTTAAATGGTATAGTTTTTTTGGAAGAATAAAATATTGGGTATTAAAAATGGATAAATGTTGGTGTCGACACATCACTATAACATCTATTTTTACAAATTAAACATTGCAACAATATTTTAAATACCAAAAAAGTTTAAAGGAGACACCAACTCATTATGTAAAGGGAATTGTGTAGTTAAATTAGATAGTTTGCACTGTAAATACAAATGGTGGCATGAGGTTTTAAATAGCTCTCACCCATTTCTAAACTAAAACTTGTTCACAGGCTAGAGCAGCTATAAGCCTGCCATCTATATTTTATACAATCAATGGTATGATTTTAGCACTGTTTGCAAGTCACACTTTGTCTAAAGAGCATTTTCCATTTTCCAGGTAACATGTACGACGTTTGTTCAACACAAGAATATCTCCTGGGCCGCTACAATTGCACAGATGTCAACACTGTTATTTACTACTTTTACACCTGTTTCTTACACGGAGGTAAGCATATTTATTTACGACTTTCATTAAGAGCTGCTTGAAGTGAAACTTTCTCAGTATTAATTAACATATATCCTCACATACATTATGTATACATACATGTATATTTTTGGATACTCAAATAACTTCAATAATAAAAGTTACGGACCTAATTTTGGCCAAATTTTA